AGTTCAAAATACGATGGGTGAGATCCTAAACGATTCCAGAGAGAAAAGAATCCCAAAGTTCTGTGCAAGGGATCGAGGTCGGAGCCTCCTCGCATCCTCAAAGACGCCGTGGAATCCAGCGCCCTATACGCAACCAAAATGTTAGTCCCGCACGAGTGTGGAAAAAGAATTCACAGACATCGAGGACCTCACAAAGTCTACTTGACTCATATTCATCCTTAGCAAGCTACTGGCAGATGCGTCCCACCCAGTGACGGGTGAGCCAGGTAGAAGGGGATCACAGCATTTCCAGAGAAATGGCATGGCTGATGGGGGTACCCACATCAACAGCTCACTGGGAACAATGGGGCACATTTTATATGGCCCTTGGAGATGAGGACACATTGCAAAGAGAAAAGAATGTATAAAAACATAGATAGGAAACAGATCACCAGCCCAGGTTGGATGCATGAGACAAGTGCTCGGGCCTGGTGCACTGGGAAAACCCAGAGGGATCGGGTGGAGAGGGAGGTGGGAGGGGGGATCGGGATGGGGAATACATGTAAATCCATGGCTGATTCATGTCAATGTATGACAAAAACCACCACAATATTGTAAAGTAATTAGCCTCCAACTAATAAAAATAAATGGAAAAAAAACATAGACAGTTATTAACTTAGGAAAAAAGTCACACAAGGAAGGAAATACAATCATAGTACAGAGTCAATGTGCTGCCAAATGACAACCCTGAGATGGGAGTGGCCACTGAAATTGTAATTAACCAGAAAGAAACAAAATTCAGCTCCTTAGCTGCATTAGTTACAAAGCTCATCACCACCTACGTCTGAGGTTAGGCAGCTCAGATGTAAAACATTTTCATCATCTCAGGAAGTTCTGTTGGACAGCGCCTTCTAGCATGGAGCTTTGGGTCAGCAGAGACAAATATTTACATCATCATAATGATGAAAACACTAAACATCGATGTAATATGCAATTGTGATGCATCTCTCTGGGGAAGCTGGTGGGGAGGGGTATTAGAGAGTTTAAATCCTCTTCTATGAGGTCACGTCATCATGACGTCATGATGTCAGCGTGGTGAAGACTGAATCCAGAGTTTGCTACATATGTTCCTTATACAGAAAGAACCAGAATAAAAAACTTGAACGTGGCCAGGGGGGTTGGAGGTAGAGACCTAAATTTTTTTTTTAAAGTTTAGAAATATACCAAAAAACTGTGCATATTTAATGCATAATGTCCTCCGATTTCATCTGTGATGTCACAAATGACAGGAATTCCTTATTTCTTTAAAGGCTGAGAAGCATTTCATCATATATGCATATGTGTAAAAATACATATATGATAAAAGTGAAAGTCACTCAGTCACGTCCGACTCTTTGCAACCCCATGGACTATACAGTCCGTGGAATTCTCCAGGCCAGAATACTGGAATGGGTAGCCTTTCCCTTCTCCAGACGATCTTCCCAACCCAGGGATCGAACGCAGGGCTCCTACATTGCAGGCAGATTCTTTACCAGATGAGCCACAAGGGAAGCCCACATATATATGATATCTATAGCTAAATTTTTAAAATGTATTCACTCACTCTCTTTTCTATAATTATCCCTTGAAATCTTTACAGCTCTATTTGGGTTTTCGTCATCCTTGCATGACTGGAAAAGGTCAGTTTTCATTCCAATCCCAAAAAAGGGCAATGCCAAAGAAATGTTCAAACCACTGCACAACTATGCTCATTTCACACGCTAGCAAGTCCTTCAAGCTAGGCTTCAACAGTACCTGAGCTGAGAACTTCCAGTTGTACAAGCTGGATTTAGAAAAGGCAGAAGAACCAGAGATCAAATTGCCAACATCTGTTGGATCATAGAAAAAGCAAGGGAATTCCAGAAAATCATTTATTTCTGCTTTTTTGACTAGGCTAAAGCCTTTGACTGGGTAGATCACAATGAGTGCAACTGTGAGGTAGTTTGAACATTCTTTGACACTGCCTTTCTTTGGTATTAGAATGAAAACTGACCTTTTCCAGTCCTGTGGCCACTGCTGACTTTTCCAAATTTGCCAGCATAGTGAGTGCAGCACTTTAACAGCATCATCTTTTAGGATTTTAAATAGTCAAAGGGAATTCTATCACTTCCACTAGCTTTGTTTGTAATGATGCTTCCTAAAACCCACTTGACTTTGAATTCCAGGATGTCTGGCTCTAGGTGAGTGATCACATCATCATGGTTATCTAGTTCGTGAAGATCTTTTTTGTATAGTTCTTCTGTGTATTGTTGCCACTTCTTCTTAATATTTTCTCCTTCTGTTAGGTCCACACCATTTCTGTCCTCTATTGTGCTCATCTTTGCATGAAATTTTCCCTTGGTATCTCTAATTTTCTTGAAGAGGTCTCTAGTCTTTCCCATTCTATTTTCCTCTATTTCTTTGCACTGATCACTGAAGAAGACTTTCTTATCTCTCCTTGCTTTTCTAGAGAACTCTGCAAACAGTTGGGTATATCTTTCCCTTTCTCCTTTGCTTTTCACTTCTCTTCTTTTCTCAGCTGTTGGTAAGGCCTCCTCAGACAACCACTTTGCCTTTCTGCATTCCTTTTGCTGGGGGATGGTTTTGGTCACCGTCTCTTGTAGTGTTATGAAACTCCGTCCATAGTTCTTCAGGCACTCTGTCAACCAGATCTAGTCCCTTGAATCTATTCGTCACCTCCACTGTATAATCATAAGGGATTTGATTTAGGTCATACATGAATGGAGTAGTGGTTTTCCCTACTTTCTTCAATTTGAGCCTGAATTGTGCAATAAGGAGTTCATGATCTGAGCCACAGTCATCTCCCGGTCTTGTTTTTGCTGACTGTATAGAGCTTCTCCATCTTTGGCTGCAAAGAATTTAATCAGTCTGATTTTGGTACTGACCATCTTCATGAACTGTATGAAAAAGCTGTTCACCTACTTCCTGGAAAAAGTAGTAGCTCTCTGTAGCATCGTGGAATTTTGTTGCAGGAAGTGGGACCCCTTCCACAGGCCAAGAGTGGACTCTTGTCTAACACTCGGAAATGAATTGCCCGAGGAGACACATGTCTGACAAAGCCAGAGATTTTACTGGGAAGGGGCGCCCAGGCGGAGAGCAGGAGGGTCAGGGAACCCAGGAGAACTGCTCTGCCGCGTGGCTCGCGTCTCGGTTTGATGGTGATGGGATTAGTTTCCGGATTGTCTTTGGCCAATTGTTCTGACTCAGAGTCCTTCCTGGTGGTGTACACCTTGTTTAGCTAAGATGGAAGCCAGAGAGAAGGATTCTGGGAGGTGTTCGGACACGTGGCATCTCCTTTTGACCTTTCCCGAACTCTTCTGGTGGCTGGAGGCTTATTACTTCCGTGTTCCTTACCAGGACCTCCTGTCATAAAACAACTCACGAAAATGGTTACTATGGTACCTGTCCAGGGTGGGCGGTTTCAGTCAGCGTGTTTCTCCTAACAGTTTGAGTGGAACCAAATCTCTGCCATCAAAAACTGGCCTTATATTGAACTATACATTGAGAAATCAATCAGAATAAGTGTTTACTTTCAAAAAAATAAAGGAACGTGAATAATGCCTCAATGAACTTGGGAGTGCAGACAGCTCCTGGAGGGCCTGATTTCATGACCTTTGGATAACTATTAATATCCAGACGTAGAATTGCTGAATCATCTGGTAGTTCTATTTTTAATTTTCTGAGGAACCTCCTTACTGCTTTCCATAGTGGCTGCACCAATTTACATTCCTGCCGACAGCGCGCAAGGCTTCCCTATTCTCTACATCCCTACCTGCACTGGTTATCTTTTTCTGGTTTGTTTGTTTTGGTAATAGTGGGTTTAACAGTAAGAGATCAGATCTCATTGTGGTTTTGATTTGCATTTCCCTGGTGATGAAGTGACATTGAGCACCTTTCCACGGATCTGTAGGCCACTTGTATGTCTTTGGAGAAATGACTATTCATTTCCTTTGCCTATTTTTCAATTGAATTATTTGCTTGTTTGTTATTGAGTTGTTACTGGAGAGACCTGCTTTTGTTTACAGCCATGTAGTACTGCTTGATTTTGAAAACGATGTCTGTGTATTACTTTGATAAAGATTAAATCTAAGAACACTCCAAGCCGTACTATATGTGGACACACAGGACCGGCGGAAGGGCTGAATGGCTGGGGGAACACACAGCTTCCTTAGCAAACCATCTCGGGGCTGGGGGTGGACAGGGTAACTGGGAGGCAACCTGAGGGCTCCAACAATCGCTGATGTTTTATTTCTCTAAGGAAAAAGAATGTGTGAGCTTCCCTAGCCGCCTGGTGGTTAAGACCCTGCGCTTCCACTGCAGGGGCTGCAGGTTCAGTTCCTGGTCTGGGAAGTTCCATACGGTGCATGGTGCAGCGCCGCCCTCCACTCGCCAAAAATGGGAAAAAAGGTGTGAAGCAAAAGCGGGAAACGTTTCCTAAATCTAGGTGAGGAGGATAGAGGGTGCGTTTGCTATACTCCATGTACTTGCGTTTGAAACATTTCAGGAGAAAGACGAGTGAGAACTCCCCTGCGACAATGGCTTGTCTGCACATGGCGCTGTCATCTGCTATTTCTGCCAGAAAGCCTTACGATGGGTTCCATCAAAAGTGGAGCCGGCGTCGTGTACGTGGAGCCTGGCATACCTCGTCATCCCACATCAAGGGAGCTATGAAAGATGGCAAGAGTCCTGCCCGATGGGGTCGGGAGCTGAGTCTACCAGTCTCCCCCAGCCAAAGATGGGGTGATAGAAGCACCAGTAAGAACACTAATTATAGCAGGCTAAGACATACCGCCTATGCTGTTTTTTTCTTATTCTTAAAGAAATTTCCTGGTGGTCCAGTAGCCACAACCCTGAGCTTCCAGTGCAGTGGGCCCGAGTTCAATCCATGTTCAGGGAACTGGATCCTGTATGCTGCACCTAGGACCCAGAGTAACCTAATAAATAAATAAGTAAAAATATATTTTAAACAAAGAAGGAAAAACCTCGGCAAGCGCTGATGATTCCAGCTTCACTGTGGCAGAGGATACAAAGCAGAGCCAGCCGAAGGGAGAGGCGGAGGTGGGACGGGCGTGTCCCGGTCTCCCGGGCCTCCCGAGCCCCCAGCGCCCTCCCGGGACTGAGCTCCCGGAGGAGGGCTCCTCCTGGGTCTCCAGCCGCTGCTCGCTGGTCCTCGCCCCCTGAGGCTGTGTGGGCCTTTCCTGGGGCCCGCCCCCTCATTAGCATAAGTGGGCGGGTGGTCAGGTACTTCAGGAGGGCCCTCCATCACTCAGGAGGGCCTAGAGCGTCCCTCCAAGGGGTGGGAAAGACCAGCCAAGCTCCTAATGAGACAGCTGGCAAAACATGGAGGGTACCCAGGAACCAGGACGAAATCTTCAGAACTGGTGGAGAAGGGGAAAAACCAGTCAAGCATTTGCCTTCCTTTCCCGTGTCAACTGTATTGGGTCACAGAGAAGCCTGGCATGCTGCAGTCCATGGGGTCACAAAGAGTTGGACATGACTGAGTGACTCAACAACAACAACATTGCCACCTATTTCCAGGTCAGTAGCTAAGACTAGGGATCTAGGAAATCAGGATACAGGACGGATACCCTTGATCAAGAGGACTTACCCATGGTGTCTGCAGAGGAGCAGATCCCTGGTCCGGGTGATGCAGTCCGGGGCCCTGGCCAGGCAGCCTGCTCAGCTAGTCCTCAGGGCGTTTTGCTAAACATCCTTCCAATCCTGAAACGCAAGGAAAAAGGCTCGCTTTGAAACATGATTGAGATAATTTTAGAATAATAAGCAAAGGCATTGTGATATTAATATAAAGAATGGGAGCTGGAATTTGCATCCATTTGGGTAATTTTCTTGATTTCTCAGAGTTCAAATTTTCTAATCTGTAAAATGAGGGGGTTGGACAAGATCCATGGCCATCAATCTCTGTTCTATTTAATGTTGATCTATTTAATATCTGTATGTCAGTCGTTGCACCTCAAAAAAAACATAAAATATTTTAAAGTGATCACATTTCCTCAGGAAAAATACAATCATAAACCTACTTACCAAATTTAATTTGAAAGACGAGCCACAGGTGGATTAAGGCACTTGCTTTCTAGTGCAATATTCGTGGCTCTGTGTTCATTTATTATTATAGTCTGTATTTTGTGTAGAAGTGACTGTGAAACCCAGATTCCAGGATATAACTAACTTGTTATCACAAATTTTTAATTTTAAATCTCTGTTGCACATCAATTCTATATATATTTTTATTACAAAGTCTCAGGACTTATGCTCTTAAATAGACTATGAATCAGTCACATTTTCAGTTTCAAGAGGAAAACCTCTGTGCCTCTGAGGCCTGGCATTGTGCTTCTCTGCTGAATCACAGCCTTGCAACTACTCTCTGAGCAACTGTCCTGGGTGGAAAAGCATCTGAGTCACACTTTGCTTTCTCACGGCTGCGTGTGCTAAGTGACTTCAGCCATGTCCGACTCTGTGCAATCCTATGGATTGTAGCCTGCGAAGCTCCTCTGTCCATGGGATTCTCCAGGCAAGAATGCTGGAGTGAGTGCCATTCCTTCCTCCAGGGGGTCGTCCCAACCCAGGGATTGAACCCGCATCTCCTGCATTGGCAAGCAGTTTCTTTACCATTAGCGCCACCTAGGAAACCCCTTTCTCATGCATACCGGATTTCATGTTTTCTTTTTGCTGCTCTGATTTTGCCATAAGGGAGAAGTTTGCCTTCACATTTCAGGTTTTTTCAGCACCTAGCTGTGTCAGTTCAGCTCAGTCGCTCAGTCGTGTCTGACTCTTTGTGACCCCATGGACCGCAGCACACCAGGCCTCCCTGTCCATCACCAACTCCCGGAGTTCACTCAAACTGATGTCCATCGAGTCAGATGCCATCCAACCATCTCATCCTCTGTCATCCCCTTCTCCTCCCACCTTCAATCTTTCCCAGCATCAAGATCTTTTCCAATGAGACAGTTCTTCACATCAGGTGACCAAAGTATTGGAGTTTCAGCTTTAGCATTAGTCCCTCCTATGAATATTCAGGACTGATTTCCTTTAGGATGGACTGGTTGGATCTCCTTGCAGTCCAAGGGACTCTCAAGTCTTCTCCAACACCATAGTTCAAAAGCATCAATTCTTTGGCACTCAGCTTTCTTTATAGTCCAACTCTCACATCCATACATGACCACTGGAAAAACCATAGCTTTGACTAGATGGACCTTTGTCAGTAAAGTAACTTCTCTGCTTTTTAAAATGCTGTCAAGGTTTGTTATAGCTTTTCTTCTAAGGAGCAAGCGTCTTTTAATTTCATGGCTGCAGTCACCATCTGCAGTGATTTTGGAGCCCCCCCAAAATAAAGTCAGCCACTGTTTCCACTGTTTCCCCACCTATTTGCCATGAAGTGATGGGACTGGATGCCATGATTTTTGTTTTCTGAATGTTGAGTTTTAAGCCAGCTCTTTCACTCTGCCCTTTCACTTTCATCAAGAGGCTCTTTAGTTCTTCACTTTCTGCCATAACGGTGGTGTCATCTCCACATCTGAGGTTATTGATATTTTCCCCATCAATCTTGATCCCAGCTTGTGCTTCATTCAGTTTAGCGTTTCATATGATGTACTCTGCATATAAGTTAAATTTTAAGTATAAATAAATGACTCCTTTACCAATTTGGAATCTAGTTGTGTGCCCAAGGGAATTAAAAATAGGGACTCAAACGTGCTTGTACACCAACGATCAGAGCATTATTCACAGTATCCAGAACATGGAAACAACTCAAGTTTCCACCAACAGATGAATGAACAAACTCAGTGAGGTCCTTCCACACGGAAGAGTATCAGCCTTAAAAAGGAAAGAAACCCTGACCCCTGCGACAACGTGGATGAGCCTTGAGGACATCATGCTCGGTGAAATGTGCCAGACACAAAAGGACAACTATACTCCTGGGAGCTTGCACTCAAGATGGGGTTGGGGGAGGGAAGGATTGGAGTTTGGGATCAGCATGTTAGTTTAGGTGATATACAGGATGGATAAGCAACAAGCTCCCACTGTACAGCACAGTGAACAGTATTCAATAGCCTGTGATAAACCAATAATGGAAAAGAATATTTAAAAAAAAAAAGAATGAGGGGACGTCCCTGGTGGTCCAGTGGTTAAGACTCCGCCTTCCAATGTAGGGATGCAGGTTCAATCCTGGTCAGGGATCTAAGATCCCACATGCCGCAGAGCAACCGAGCCCTCGGGCCACAGCTGCCGAGCCTGTGTGCTCCGGGACCCAAGGACCACAGCTAGATAGGAGCTCACGTGCATGATGAAAGAGCCCACTGCTGCACCCAACACCAAGGCAGCCAAATAAATGTGAAAAAAGGAATGTGTGTGTGTGCGTAACTGAATCACTTCCCTGGACAGCAGTAATTAACACAGCGTTGTAAATCAGGTCTACTTCAATTAAAAAATAAACTTGTGGGGAACGAAAAGATGAGGCAGCCTCATCCAAGGCTCCGCTTTCAAGATGGCGCCCGTCCTGCGTGTCCACGGGAGGCGCCGGTCCTCTGTAACCTGGGCTCTGCCATGGGGGCCTTGATGACCCTGGAGGAACTGCCTGCCCCAGGGTCAGCCAGTTCCTGAAGAACGTGGCCACGTGGCCACCAGTGAGTGCGCTTCATGAAAGCAAGCCTGCCTATGGTGCCCGCACCCCATCACCCCCTCGTGCATCAGGCTCTCCCAGGCTGGGCCACCGTCCACCTGCGCAAACCAGCTCGGGGCCAGTCCCAACAACGAGCGGCCACCCCTCTGCCCCAGACTCACCTGCCAGTCCGGTGTCTGTGGCCACACCCGTCTCTTCCTGCAGAAACCACAGTAAATGCTCTAGTCCAGGGAACTCCGACCTCTGGGATCTAATGCTCGATGATCTGACGTGGAGCTGATGGAAAAATAATAGAAATAAAATGCACAGTAAATGTACTGCACTTGAATCATCCCGGAACCAGGCCCACCCTCGCCCCATCCATGGAAAAACTGTCTTACATGCAACCGTGCCTGGTGCCAAAAAGCCTGGGACTGCCGCTCTAGCTCCCAAACCCCTTCACCTCCTGCCTTGCGCTGGGCCCCTGGCGCGGTGGCACACCCCTCCTCCTAGGATCTGTGAGTAACAGCTGGCTCTCTGCATCCCTCGCAGACACCCACCAAACACTGTTGCAGACCTGGGTGAGGGCATCGTTGGAGGCCACCCCTCTGGGATCTTGTTGAGGGGACAGTGGACTGTGTGGCTGGGTGTCATGGGGAGAGCTCTGAACAAGGTGTCGTTGTCTCTGGGTTTCCTTCCAGGCTCATCTCTGCCCAGAAGCTTGGCTCTCAAATAAGCTCTTTGTATCACAAGAGATTTACTACCCTAAGTATATCTGTATCTCAATTTAATGAAAATGTTAAGGATACTTTGATGGTCTTGCGCCAGTGTAATTTTAAATAAAATGTCTTCATTCTTTGGCAGCACATGCGGCCCTGATGTTTAACTGTCGGGAGGCACTTAAGTGGAGTGCTCTCTACAATATTGTCTTTACAACACTGGCTTGTTTTACAGCACTGTTTTTTTTTTCCCCCCAGAGTAAACAAAAAAAGTTTCATGGAAATCTTTGAGGCAAAGCCTCAATTATGTTGCTAGAAATTGAACCCGGACTGACTGTAGATTATAAGGTGATATGTTTGAAGGGAAACACCAGACTTTGGAGCATTAGCTATGCACTGACAGGCTGTCAAATTGCTCAACTCTGAATATTCATTGCAAGGACTGATGCTGAAGCTGAAACTCCAATACTTTGGCCACCTGATGCGAAGAACTGATTCACTGTAAAGACCCTGATGCTGGGAAAGATTGAAGGCAGGAGGAGAAGGGGACGACAGAGGGCGAGATGGTTGGATGGCATCACCAACTCGATGGACATGAGTTTGAGCAAACTGGGAGATAGTGAAGGACAGGGAAGCCTGGCATGCTGCGGTCCATGGGATCACAAAGAGTCGGACACGACTGAGTGACTGAACAACAAAGGCTTTGGAGCATCAGCTGTGTGCTGAGCGGCTGTCAAGTCGCTAATCCCCCTCCTATGTCCAGTCTCTGCACTGGTCAAATATGGAGAATGACATTTAGGTCACAGGGCTGCCATGAGAAGTATCTGAGTAACAGTCTATGTAGCATAGAGTGTAACGTCTGATAGAGAGTGAATGCCCGGTAA